TTCTCTCTTAGAAGATAATTGACACAATTTTCGTATATGCCGCTATTATGGAGATAAATAACCACTTGACAACATAATTGATACAATTTTAATAAATTCACAATATATAATATTAATAAATCACAAATAATTTTATAAGGTTTTAGTATTCTTAAACTAAGTTTGTAAATATTTCCATTCAAATATTAAAAAAATTAATCGAATTATTTCAATCAATATGTTTACCAACTTTACCCTTCATCGTTTATATATTGATTTTCTTCCGATAAAATTTGCAAAATGTCTAGATTATTTCACAAAATGATAATACACATCCAAATATATATATTTTAGTAATCAATTTTGAAGTACCTTTATGTTTTATGTTTTAATTTGATAAAATAGATAAAATAAAAAACTCATTAACTTCATATTACTTGAAACATAGTCCCACCCACAACCTATAAAATAATATAATGTGATAGAAAACAAATTAAACTCATTAATAAAAGTTATTGTACTAAATTGATAGCCTCATTTATAAATTAAAAAAGGCACCATTTTGACTCTTACCACTCAAATGCGTTTGAACGTATACTACCTTTAAAAATATTAATACCATGACCATAACTTAAAAAAAACATTAATATATATTTTTTGGTTGAGATAAGTAATTAAACTTAATATATTCCACCAACCTTTTTTTAAAAAAATAATAATAATATATTTCACCAATGTTTTTCTTAATTACTCAAAATACATAAGTAATGATTCCAATTGCCCGTGCTTTTGTGGGTCTATCAATAATTCCGAAAAGAGATTAAAAAAAAAAAGAAATCTTTTCTTTTTCTCTCTTGTTTAGGTACCGAAGGAAAGCTATCTTGGCACAAGTTTTTGGGTGCCTTTTTAAAAAAAAAATTCATAATAATTTTAAAATTTTTATTTCATTTTGAATTTTTTTTAGGAATAATGTAGTTTTAGATAAATAAAACAAAATTTACTTAATTTTGAAAGACCAAAATAAATTGACAAATTACTATATCAGGCGGTTATGATGAGATAAATAACCACCTGACAGAAAGGTTGTCAAGTGGAGACCATGCATATTTTTTTTTTCTTCTTGAAAACTGTTCATGTTGTTTGCACACTGTCCATCGAGATTATCTTCAGATTTATATTCTAAGTTACTATTCATGATAAGATACTTCTTTTATTTTGTATTTTGATGAATAAGGTATTTCATACCCCTTCAAATTTTTATGTGCTTTTTCCCTTATCCATAGGGTTAAATTTATCACATCTCTCCCTTTCCTTTTCATTTATTT